CAGATTCAGCCATTCGATCCGATCCTCTTTGCTACTGGGACCACGCCCCAGGGGGACGAAGATTGCGAGCTACCCTCCTTCCTTTTTCCGCACTTCCCACTCCCCTCTCCCCTCTCCCCTCTCCCCCCCCCCCTCTTCCCCTCCCTTTCTCCCTACTCGCCATCCCTAGAGACACTGTATATACTTTTTGGAAAACGAAAGAGTATTATAGTAGACGACGTGAGGGGACTTTTCGGAAAATGAAAGTACCTCCCCAGAACACAAGGAAGGCACTCTCATTTTGGCTGCATCGGACCGGGAAGATAGCTTATATTCATCCATTTTCAGGGCGCGTTATAGATAACTTATATACATCCATTTTCAGGGTGCGTTATGTTCGGGGGAAGACGGTAGAATGACTATTTGTTGTCCATCATCATCATCATCATCATCGTCATCATCATCATCATCATCATTATAGAAAGAACGATGACGATGAAAATAACATCGTGTCTCTGAGCTTGAGCTAAGGTCTCACGTCCGTCCGACGAATCGCTGTCCCTCTCTCTCTCTCGCCTGTCTTCACAGTTTTTGTAAGTTTTGGACCGGAGACGAAACCTCAGTTTGTCCTTTTTTTTTTTTTGAATAAAAAGAAAAACCCGTTATCCTCTTCAGTCTCCTGACGAGTCGGTGGAACTCCGACGAAACAGTTTGTCACAGCCCCTCGTTTGTTGTCCTCTTCTCTCCCTCCCTCTCTGCCTACGGTTTACCGGAGGCAGTTCTGTTTGACGATATATATCTATATATCTATATGTGTGTGTGTGTGTGTGTGTGTGTGTGTGTGGGTTATGACGAACAGTATCATCGGTTGGGGGATCCCTCTTCTCTCCCTCCCTCTCTGCCTCCTAATGAGGCTTGAGAGGACTGAGGACTGTGGAGGGTTCAGCCTCTCCGTATGAGTCGGTCGATCTCGAACGAAACAGTCTGTCACAGCCCCTCGGTAGTCTTTTTCTTCCTCTCTACCTACGGTTCACCGGTCAGGTCCCTATGACGATATATTATACATCTCCTTCTTTTGCGCATTTAACTTGGACGCTCCTGGCCGCGATTTCGGCATTTTTTTGAACCGAAATCGTCAGGCCGTTCTAGACGAAATCTTTTAGGCGGGAGCCCGGTAAGGCCTGACGATTTCGGTTTAAAAAAAGGCCGAAATTGCGGCTGGGAACGACAAAGTTAAATGACGAAAAGAGAGATACAAAAAGTATAAAAAAATATAAATGTTATATATGTTGGGAAATATATAAATATATCGTCACAACGTGTATCGGAGCGCAAAGGCGAAAAAAGACGAGAAAAAAAGGGAAAGAAGGAAGGAAGGAAGGAAAGCTCGGCCTGTTCATCATCAGCTCTTACGTACAAGGCCGGGCACGTGGATGACAGGTTGAGCGCCGGCTGGCTGCCCCCATCATCCCCGTGTGTCACAAGGACCCACTTGCAGGCAGCCAAAAGGCAAAAAAGAGGTAAAGAAAAGTAGGAGGAAACGAAACCTCACAGAGGCAAGAGAAAGAGTATGTTTATGTATAAAATATGATGTATATGTATATATATGAAGAAAAGAAAAAAGAAAACAAGAAAAATAAAATAAAAATGTTGAACTTTTTTTTTTTTTTTTTTTTTTTTTGGGAATGTTGAATTCTGTTGTGACAGTGGCAACTGGTTTATCTGTGGGATGTGTCATTTGCGTTGTTTGACTAACTGATGGGCCTTCCTGTTCCTCTTCCCTTGTGCTTTCTTTCTTTGACCGGATCCCTTTCTCTTTCTCTTGCCTGTGTGAGGTTTGGTTTCCTCCTTTTCTTTACCTCTTTTTTGCCTTTTGGCTGCGTGCAAGTGGGTCCTTGTGACACATGGGGATGATGGGGCCACCCAGCGCTCAACCTGTCATCCACGTGCCCGGCCTTGTACGTAAGAGCTGATGATGAACAGGCCGAGCTTTCCTTCCTGCCTTCCTTCTTTCCCTTTTTTTCTTGTCCTTTTTCGCCTTTGCGCACCGATTCACAGTGTGACGATATATATAATATGATATATAATTTTGTGACGATATATACAGATTACCTCTTTGCCTTTTGGCTGCGTGCAAGTGGGTCCTTGTGACACGGGGATGGCGGCAGCCAGCGCTCAACCTGTCATCCACGTGGCTGGCCTTGTACGTAAGAGGTGATGAACAGTTGGGGCTTTCCTTCCTTTCTTCTTTTCCTTTCCTTGTTTTGCTTTTTTTCGCCTTCGCGCTCTGATTTAGTGTGACAGTATATATATCTTTGTTTCGTGGATGTGT